GGCCTGTGGTTACCTAGGAGGGACACCTCCCCATTCCTTCCTTCCTCCTTGGTCCCTTCCATCTCTTTTGTAGTTCTTTGTCATGATGCAGTGCAGGTTTCTCAGTGTATGTCACGAATGGGGTTTTTCTCTTCCCTTAGCACAACAGATCTTACCTTAATACAAGTGAATCAGTACATGAAATTCAATTACTCTTAACTTACATGTTATTAAACTTGTTTATTTTAATTTAATATTGCTAAATTTTTAGCAGCCATAATTAAAAACTAAAAACAACAATAAAACTACACAAAGACTTAGATCATTATAATTTATCAAATAGGTAAACATCCTATCTAAAATTAAGAATTATTTTTATAAGATACGTACAAGCTGACTAAAAAAATACTCTGATCCTCCAAACTATTAAAAAACAGAAAAAAAAAAAAAAAAAAAAAAAAAAGAGAATGAAGAAAAACTTTATTGTGACCTCTCTTAAAATGTCGGTTTTATGGTAGGGCACTGGAAATCCTTTTGATCTAGTGGACCAACCACACAGAGTATTGGGCTTCAAGAAAGTGGCCCAAATACTTTCCTACACAGTTTTGTTGTCCTCTGGCCCATGGGCATCGAAGTTTCCAGTCCTCCAGGCCCTCAACTTCTTTACCAATGATTTTGTCCAAGTCATGGGCCTTCACAAGGATCAAATCAATTTTAGCTAATCTAAACATGTCACCAGTATAGACCTAAGAGTTCCATGTTTGATCCTTGGAAGTAATTAGAAAAATCGATCCTCCGCGAGTTGTGCAGTTCATGAAAACTTGTGCATGGTGTAGAGTGGGAAATGCCACGGTGAGTTTAAAACAAAAAAGTATGTGCGTTAAATGTAAAAAGGGTTACTTCACTTATTAATAATTAATTTTAAGTTAAATGTAAGTCTTATAGTGATTTCACATGCACAATTTTCATATGGTATCAAAACTCAGATTCTGTCTTGAGAAACCCGTTATTAGCCCACCTGATAAGACTCAAAAGTTGACATCATACCTATATTTAGAGGGGCGTATTAAGTCACGTGCAAACCCATTCATAACAGGTTTGGCACGTGAGAAACGTGTTTAGTAAAAAATCTCTCATCAAGTTTAAAACAAAAAAGTGTGTGTTAAATATAATGAGAGCTACGCCATCTATTGTTAAGTAATTTTAGATTGAATGCAAGTTTTGTGTTGAATTAACATGTATAATTTTTAATTATAGTTTTCCTATTAAAGTAAGAAGATGATTGAGTATACAGACTCTTTTTCATAGTAGGAGGATAGATTGCTGTATACTTGGTTGCTACGTCACTTGAAAAGTTTAATGAAGGCATAAACTTATTTTAGAGGCAATTGAATGCATTTTTTTCATCAGATCTTAATTTAATTATCCACCAGAGGCTGGTTACAAAGTAGTTCACATATACTCAAGATTGTTACTAACACTGAGATTTTTTACTTATTTTCTTGTGCTAACTTTTTGTAGGTGATGTGCAGTGCTGTTGAGCAGCCGCTGCAAAGACCAGTGCTAAGGTAAGAAAGCTATAACACTATAATGTCTAAACAAATTACTCAAAATTATTAATAGGTTAACTGATGAAATAATTAAAAAAAAATATTTTTTATAATTGAATGACAAAAAAAAATATAAAAAGTTTAAGGACGAAAAATTATATAAAATTATAAAATTGAGAAATCAAAATCAAAACTTAACCTAAGTTTATTTATATGCATTTATAATATATGTATATTTTTTTACTTGTAATTTAAAGTTAAATGACTAAAAATGTATATATTTAAATAAATTTAATAAATTAATTAATACAAAATTTTAAAAATATATTTTTAATAATTGAGGAACTAAAAAAAACATTAAAAAAAAAAGTTGAGGATAAAAATTATCACGAAAAGCCAAAATAAGCATTTTACCCATTTTCATTAAAAGGATCGTAATTGAGAGCAATATCTTGGGGTATTATTATCATTTGCCAACACTCGCCATCTCATTTCGTCTTCGTCGCCGGTGCAGAGTGCATCAGACACAAAAAGGCGAAATTCAGGCCAAATTAGGGTTAGGGTTATCCCTAATCCAGCAAGTAAACTTTATCTGCTAGAATCTGCAGCAGAAGATCAAAGATGGACGCCAATTCATCACCAAATGATTCAACCACGGACCTCGACGAGCAGATCTCCCAGCTCATGCAGTGCAAGCCGCTGTCGGAGCAGCAGGTGCGTGTTTATTAGCTTGTCAATTGCGATCTGTTTGCATGCATCAGTGATGATTTTCTTCTGAGTTTATTATATGTTTGGTTCCGAAATGAATATCAGAGTGCATTAGAGCAGCTTCAGATTGTTTTCTTTTTCTGAAATCAGAAATCAATGTTAGGTGAATTGGGTTGAATTTGCTTTTTCTAAGAAACGATGCATTGAAATGTTTACTCCTTGGAATCCATCCTTTTTTTCTTTCCTAAATTTCTTGTGATTAGGGTATTAATGGAAGTTTTCATCGCATTCGGTTTCTTTTACTGTGCTGTAGGTCATAGCATTATGTGAGAAGGCTAAGGAGGTACTGATGGAAGAAAGCAATGTTCAGGTGTGCCATTTCATCCTTGTTCAGCCCCACATTTGTGATTGCTAAATTTTTTAGCTTTTCTGACCATGGGAATTGATATTTTTAGAAACGTTCATTCACTCCTGAATGTCACGTTCAGGGGGTGTTTTGCAGTAATCAACATGTGTTTAGTTTCCAACAATGTACTTTGTAGATGTTGAAATGTTTTGTTTTTAGGTAGTAAAGCAATGATGTTTTATAATCTTTTCTGTATCACAGCCAGTGAAAAGCCCTGTGACAATATGTGGCGATATTCATGGGCAGTTTCATGATCTTGCTGAACTCTTTCGAATTGGAGGGAAGGTATCAATACTGACTCTTGACTATGACCTTTTTATTCGGTTCTTCTTTTGAAGATTGGATGGAGCACTGCTGAGGAATTTTTAGTTGAGTAAATGATAGCTGTAGTATAAATATTTTAATTTACACTCATCTGAATGCATTACCATATTTCGACCACAATTTATGAAGATGAGAATTCAGCTTTGGGAAGCCTTTTCACTCATATGTTGCCAACTTTGTGTCATTGTAAAGTTTCCTCATGAGTAGAGTTGGGTCCTTGCCATATTGGTTTTATTTTATTTCATTTTCTGTTAAACGTAGAAAACCCCAAAAAATGATTATATCTGTTATTCTCTTATCTTTTCTATCATTTTATGCATCATAAAATTGGTCTTAAGATTTCTCTCCATCATTGATTTTATTTTTCTTGGGGCATTATATTGTTTTCCCTGTGAAAAATAATTTCCAATCAAATTTAGATTTATATCTTACTTTTTTGTACCTTTCTCATTTTACAGTGTCCAGATACCAATTACTTATTCATGGGAGATTATGTGGATCGTGGGTATTATTCTGTTGAAACTGTTACGGTACGTACATGTAAATTGTAATAGTGGCCATTGTCTCTGGTCAAATGGAAGTAATATTTTTGTGGAAAAATTGAGTGTCCGTAACACTTTAGTGTTCCTCTTTGATCTCTTCTTGCACTATTCATTGTCATGATTAGGCTTGGAATATGGTTGCATAGATCCTTAGTAGGTGGTGTTCATGTTTCACTTGTGACACAATTTGTTTGCTCATCTAGTTGTTGGTTGCCCTAAAAGTTCGTTATCCCGAGCGGATTACCATTCTCAGAGGAAACCATGAGAGCAGGCAGGTATGCAGTTTGAACTCAGCAAGTCTCA